TTTTCTGATTGTTCTTCTAGCTTACTATTACTGACAGACTTACTAGTATTGGCAGATTATCAAGCTCACTAATTAAAACTCCATTGATTCAAATCTACTCTTTTGTCCTTTTGATGTATTGTGCATTTCCGAGATCTTAGTATTAATCTTCTGGCTCTCTATTTTCCGGTTTTGTATTGTCTCCAATTCTTTATCTATTTTGTTTGCTCCTGTAGTGCTTTCCTTAATTCTTCCTTGTTTTCGTTGACATTTCTGTCAATAATGTGGAGTTACCTAAATATCATTCTCTTGAACGGTTTTCAGGTAGTTCCAAATCACTCATCAGAAACATTTTCTAGTTCTGCCTCTTAGTCACTTGTTTGAACTACTCTGTGTTCTTTCTTCGTGTGAACAGAATTAGCTTGGTGGGTATGATTAGGGTATAAGCTAGTGCACTTTTCCCTTCTTGCTGTTCATGTAGCTCAGTGTAGGATGAATTTGGCTGATATTGGTTGTTGTTTTTGATCCAGTGTATATCAGCTGGTGTTGGCTCTTGTCTGGTGTGTGAGGCTGTAGAGAGCATGGTTATGGCTGGGCACTATGGATATGGTTGCTGTCTTCTGTTGGATGAGGCAAGAAGAGAAAACACCCCCAAGAGAAAAACAGACAAGCAAAGAGCAGCAAAAACAGAAAATTTCAAGGAAAAAAAAAAAAAGCAACAGCTAGGAAAAGAATTAGAAAAACAAATAGAAAAGCAGAAGAGGAAAATAGAAAAAGAAAAGCAAGTAAATAAAAAAAAAAGAAAAAAACTAAACATAATTAGGGAGAGGAATGAGTAAACGAGAAAAAGACTGGAGAGTAGTAAGGAAAATAAAGAGAAAAAAAATGGAAACAGCAGCAGTTGGGGAACGATGCAGAAAAAGTGAAAGCAGAGGTTGAAAGGATAGAAAGCAAGAGTGAGAAAGAAGAGGAAGAAAGAATAAACAAAAAGAATGAAAGGAAAAAACTAGGACAAGTGCCACATGCAGGGAGGATATAATTTGGGGGTCGCCTGCCAGCCAAGGACCTCATGTCATGGGAGGACAAGACCCATGAGACTGTAATACCCTGAACCCTAGGTGGAGTTCCTGTAGGGCAAGGTGTTCTCTGTTCTGAGTACCCAATCCAGAAGTAGTTCTTGCAGCTTCCAAAGCAGTTGGTGGATTAGGGTATTTCTGTCCCAGAGGGCAGCTGAGGGTGAGAGGTCCTGCAAGTCCAGGGCTTGTCAGAACCAGCTCTTCTGCTGTTTCCCCACTTCTAGTTCAGGGCTTGACAGAACCAGCTTCGCTGCAAGTTCCTCACTCCTTTCGATGTGGCTCCAACTGCCAAAAGAGCAGAAACTTCACTCAGAGTGTATACAGGTGGGGGCCAGCCATACTAAGCCACCAGAGTAATGTGGGGTACAAGAAAAAATGTTGTATCTTTCCATCAGTAAGCAATATGCCTCTGCATCACCTAGTACCCTCTTAACTTTCAAAGTCACTCATGAAAGTGCTGAGTCTGCCTAGCTGGCACAAATCAGTAGTCTCTCCGCCCACACACACACAGCTGTTCAGCTGCTTCTTCTAGTGAGGTTTAGTCCAGGGCTAGCCAGGGCCTACTCTGCAGATTTGGAGCAGAGCCCACCAAGTGGGTTTAATACATATAATTTCCTCCTCCTTTTGTGGAGCTCATGACTGTGGCACTCTCCCTACGTGTGGCTCTGACTGCTGCTCGAAGAGCTGGAGCTTCTCTGGGGGTGTACGTGGGTGGAAGTCACTAGAAGTCAGAACCAATTCAACAGCACTTTAACAACAACAGCATGGGCTACTGAAACAATAAAACATCTGTCTTGGAAGAAGTAGAGTTAAGGAAAAAGGGAAAGGACCCCCAAAGGAAATGGATTGAAGCAGTGGCTAAAATAGTGAGTTCAAACATAGCGACAATTGTGAGGATGATGCAAGACCAGAAGGTGTTTCATTCTTGTGTGTATAAGGTCACAGTGAGTCAAAGCTGACAAGAGGTAGAGGGGACCATCAGTTCTCCAGGGACTCTGATAAGCTTAGGGGAGGAATTCGCTACCTGGGAGAGGAAGGAATGTTTTCACAGTAAGGTATTAGAGGGCAGACAGTACAAAGTAGCTTTATTTGTGTCTTTTATACTATGAATTTTCATTAGATAGTATTATGAATTTTAAAAGTAGATATTTTAAATTCAATTTCATTCTTGCTTTCAGGTATTTATATTCTAGTTACAGAGATTTAAGTACACAGACAGCCGCTGTAAAGTAACTGAAAGTTTCCAGACTTAGGCTATGGGAGCAAAAAGTAAACAAGGTCAGTGATAGTTCAAGTGACTGGTAAGACTTTTAGAAGTTTCATTTAAGCTGAACTTTAATGGAGACTAGGGTTTCTCAGTGGAGAGAGCTGACCAAGTGAAAGTGTGAGTTTTTAAAAAAAATCTAAAGGTACAGTGCTTAGAGATTACAGGTGACTTAATATCAAAGAAGGCGGATAATGAAAGATTAGGCCAACTTTTGGAAAATCTTAAGTAAAAGGCATGTTGCTGTTGTTGTTGTTAAGTGCCGTCGAGTTGGTTTTGAGTCATAGCAACCCTGTGTAAGTTTTTGTGCGTGAATTTAGTGAAAGTTTTGCAGACAAGATCATCAGTTTTACATTCAACATATATACTTTGTTTCTTCTCAAAGACTGCAATCCCTTCCATGCAACAACAGTTGTCTTTCTTCCTCCCTGTGGTTTCCTATATACAAATATCATTTTTGAAACTCATATACTTTTAGGATATATATAGGAAATATATATATATATATTTCCTACTTTTCCTTCAGCCTATGCCTCTGTCCACATATCTACATACAGAACAATCCAGTGATATATACATAGCCTTGGAACCACAGTGTTAGATTTGTCAATGGTTTGTCAGATTCTTGTCTTGTTGATTCTTTCAATTGCTTTTCTGCTTTCTAATTCATTTATTTCTGTTCTAGTCTTTATTATTTCATTTTTTTCTGGTGACTGTAGACTTACTCTGCTAGTCTTTTTCTAATTGCTGGAGATGATGTGTTAATGTGTTGATTTTGGTTCTTTTTTCTTTTTGGATGTGTGCAATTATAAATCGTCCTCCAAGCACTGCTTTTACTGTCTTCTGAAGGTTTTGGTATGTTGTATTTTCTTTCTCATTTGAGTCAAGGATTTTTTTAATTTGCTCTATTACCCAGTAGCTTTTCAGCAGGTATTACTCAATTTCCATGTGTTTGATTTACTCACCAGCCACTCCTTAGAAACTCTATACAGGGTCCCTATGAGTTGGAACGGACTCAGTGGCATTTAACAATAAACAACAACAAGGGAAGTGGGAGATTTTACAAAGTCTAGTGATTTTCAATATCTGCCTCACCGAACCTTAAATTTCTTAGGAAGTCTTGGAGTCCCTAGAATAGAAGATGAAGGGGGTCAAGTAACGGGGGACTTTTATTTAGTAAGGGGACATCTGAGTAAGAAAGAAGAGGCTCTACTGCCTTTCTAGCCCAACTCCCTTATTTCTCGTAAGGGAGGTATTAGACCACGAAGAAGTCTAATGGTTTTTTCAAAGATGAAAAGTAACAGCTAGTTAGTTTTATAACATGGCTACATCTTAGATGTTCAAAGTTTTCTCTGAGTTCATGACTGGGAAATCAGTGATGTCCTGGTAAGCCAGCTCTGTGAAAAACTAAATTCCTCACTTTGGTGTTTACCTATTTCTGTGAGATAAATATTCCTATCATGGCTGATTTTGTACCAAGTTCAGAAGAAATATGTATAATCTACTCTTGTGAACTGGTGCCTGTACATCACTGAATCCCCGCAGCTAAATGCAAGATCTGGTGTTGCCAGTGTATTATTCCTCCCATATAAGTATAAAATCTTGTGTGGTGCTGTTGAGTAAAGCACTGGACTGCAAGGTCGGTTTGAACCATAAGGTTGGTGGTTCAAACACACCAGCTGCTTCTTGGAAACCCTGTACGGCGTTGCTATGAGTCAGAATTGACTGGAGAATACTTAACAACAACCACCACAACCACAAAGTATTTTTAAAGTAGCCTTGGTGACACAGTGGTTAAAAGCACTCAACTGATACCTGAAAGGTCAGTGGTTCAAATCTACCATCTGCACTGAGAGAATGATGTTGCAATCTATATCCATAAATATTTGCAGCCTTAGAGACCTATGGAGAGTTCTGTTGTGCTCTACAGGACTGCTGTGATTCAGAATCTACTCAGCACAGTGGAGGTGAGTAGTGTTTAGAAAGGGTAATGTGACTATTGTTATTAAGACTTTTAGAAATAAGCTTCTCTAAATAATCCTTATTTTGTACATGGTATTAAAAAAGCATGTACTCATAGGCTTTAAAAATGAGGACATACCTTATTCTAATCCTAAAAGAGACTGTGAACAGTATTGGGGATAGGTTTGTAAAGGATTGGTGGTGGTGGTTGGTCGTTGTATGCTACTGAGCCAGTTCCGACTCACAGCAACCCTGTACAGGGTTTCCAAGGCTGTAAATCTTTATGGAAGCAGAAAGGTTCATCTTTCTCCCGCAGAGTGACTGGTAGATATAAACTTCTGACCTTGTGTTAGTAGCCCAGTTTGTAATCCATTACATTACCAGGGCATACCTCGTATTAGAAAGTGATTCTTTTAATGTGTTTAAAATTTTTTTGCTTGAAAGTTGAGTTCCATCAGGTTCTGCATCTTGCAGAGCCACTGATGGGTTTTGAACTACTGACCTTTTAGTTTTCAGCAAGGTGCTTAACCACTGCACCAGCAGAGCTCCTTATGAGAATTGACAAGACTTTAAATCTAAACTTACTTTTCCTCATATTTGAGTTTTCAAGGGTCTAAGTCCCAGGGTAATGGAACCTGTACTTCACAGGCTCTGCACCAGAGAACGCTGCCCTGAGGGGTGAATAATTGGGCAGCCAGACAGTCCCTGATTTTTGCCAGGTCGGGTGGAACTCCCAGCCAACTCGAGCTGTGATCTTTGAAGACTGTGCTGTCCCCGTGACAAACAGAATTGGGAATGAGGGACAAGGCTTCCTGATAGCCATGAAAGGACTGAACGGAGGAAGAATCAATGTTGGTGAGAACATGGAGCGAGGGTGAGCTGGAAGTAATGGGAGAGGACTTGTTGCATTATCTCCTGCTCCAATGAAATGTCGGCTCTCTTCCTTTCTAGCCTCCTGCTCTCTGGGGGCTGCTCATGCTTCAGTTATTCTCACTCGAGACCACCTGAATGTTCGAAAGCAATTTGGAGAACCTTTGTCCAGTAACCAGGTAACTTCCCAAGTGTGTGTGCATTTGTTTTCCACTCTGTGGTCCATGAGATCTGTGGCCCACATTCTCTGGGTGAGGGAGACTGAACTCTTTGGTGGAGACCACTACACATCTTAGCCAGGATTTGCACTTTTCTGTTAAGACCCTCTTTTAAGATGGAAACATTAAAAAGGAGAGGGCAAGTGAAGTGGATTTAGAACTTACAAAGCAGCAAACTTTCTGTAGAGGAAGCAGGTGATTAAGGCTTTGAGTCACTTAAAAAAGATACCTAATTGGAGATTTTTTCATAGAGGGTCCCAGATTAGTGGTGGTCTAAGCTCCTTTTCCTTGTCGGTTCTCTTCTTTCTGTTGCTGCAGTATCTGCAGTTCAAATTGGCAGATATGGCAACAAGGCTGGTGGCCTCACGGCTCATGATCCGCAACGCAGCTGTGGCCCTAGAGGAGAATCGGGAGGATGCTGTGGCCCTGTGCTCCATGGCCAAACTCTTTGCTACAGATGAATGCTTTGCTGTGAGTGACAATGCCCCTACTCTCCTGGGATGGGTGTGAGCAGCCCTAGAGCGAAGGATGTTGAAAGGCATAAATTAACTTTGGAATTCAGCAAAGTAACCCATTAGAGGCCTGCATGAGAGCTCTCCTAACTGGCTTTTTGACCTGCTTCATGCCATTATACAGAGTCTTGTTGTGGCGCTATGGGCTAAGCGCTGGACTGCAAAGTTGGTTTGAACTGCAAGGTCGGCGGTTCAAGCTCACCAACCACTCCTTGGAAACCCTATACAGGTCCACTATGGGTTGGAACCAACTAGACAGCACTGAACAACAACAATGCCATTATACAGTTCATTCTGTTACTGCTGTTTGGCACTAGATAAAACACTACCTCTGGAAGATTTGGAGCAGTCCATTGCCAATTGTGCAAATTAAAATGTCAGGAGTCATTCCCAAGCTAAGGCTACTGTGCCACTAGATGGCACCTTAGAACCTGTCTATTGAACCCAAGATTGTGGCCACTCTTCCTCAGCAAAAGATCAACACGGAAAGAGTTTGAGTTGTGTGTGTGGGCGAGCTTTACTTACTGGCTCTAAGCATGTCGACCATAGAGAATCTGTTGGCTTGGTTGTTTGTCTGTGGCTTGTTCTTCCTCTTATTAGTTTACAACAAGCCACTGGATTAGCGGGTGAGAGTGGGGAAAGATTGTCACTTCTTAACACAGTTTTAGAGGAATCAACAACATATAATCCCTGTCTTCCTACAGATCTGCAACCAGGCTCTACAGATGCATGGAGGATATGGCTACTTGAAAGACTATGCTGTTCAGCAGTATGTGCGAGATTCCAGGGTCCACCAAATCCTAGAAGGTGAAAGTCTCCAGAAGTCATTCTTGCCCTTTCAGAATGGTTATGGGATCAGTACCTTTCCCTCCCTGTCTGTCTCCATGCTGCTTGGTGTTCAGGGTTTCTCTAGACCTACCTGTCTCTGGGTTTCCTGGTTTCTTCTTTCCTTCCATTCCCTGACCCTGCTCGAGAAGTAGCATATTGGTACAACAGAAAGACCACCAGCCTGGGAGTCAGGAAGCCTTTATTAATAGGGGGCCTACAAAGAGAAGCCTGCTAGCCTTTCCTTGCCTCTCAAAGCAATTCTCAAACTTCAGCTTGCATCAGAATCTCCGGGAGGGCTTCTTCAACACTGGTTGCTAGAGCCCACCTGCAGAGTTTCTGATTCTGTAGGTCTTAGGTAGAGCCTGGGCATTTGCATCTGTTCCATGTTTCCAAATGAATCTGGTGCTGGGAATTATATTTTGAGACATACTGCTCTAGTGTTGTGTCTTAATTGCTGTTGTTGTTAAGTGCTGTTGAGTTGGTTCCGACTTATAGTGACCCTGTATAGGGATTCTGAGGATTGACTAGTGGGTTTGAACCACCAGCCTTGTGGTTAGCAGTCCAGTGCTTATCTTACAGTGCCACACCAGGTAAGTTTAGTCTACTGAAATCTCATTGCTAACGTATGTTTATGAGCTCGATTGCTGGTTCTCACATTAAATTTCCCATAGTCTCTTTTCTCCTATTACTCCTGGAAGTACTTCTCACCCAGACTTTATGAGTATGGGCAATTTCACTTTCATTCTAACTCAGTCTTTTGGTTAACCACTGACAGCCTTATGAATAGCAATGGAACATTTTCAGATATAGTGCCGGAAAATGAAAACATTATGAATAGCACCAGAATGTTGTCAGATATAGTGCCAGAAGATGAGCCCCTTGAGTTGGAAGTTACTCACACTCAAGATATAATTGGGGAAGAGCTGCTTCCTCAAAGTAGAGCTACCATGATGATGGGAATGGAGTACAACTTTTGGGACCATCATTAGCTGATGGGACACAACTCAGAATGAAGAGAAACAGCTGCAAACATCCATTAATAATCAGAACATGGACTGTATGAAGTATGAATCTGGAAAAACTGAAAGCTGTCAAATATGAAATATTGTTGTTAAGCACCATCGTATTAGCCCACAGTGCCACATGCTTCAGACTGCAAGCTAGTTTGAACTGCAGGGTCGGTGGTTCAAGCTTACCAGTCACTTCTTGGAAACCCTATACAGGGTCACTATGAGTTGGAACTGACTCATTGGCATTTAACACCAACAACAATATAATTGGAAAGGAGTCCTGGCATGGCACTGTAGGGTAAGCACTGGACTGCTAACCATAATAAACCCTATGTAGGGGCACTATGAGTTGGAACCAGCTCAATGACACTTAACAAAAACATAATGGGAAAAGCCATTCTTTTCTATTAATAACTCTTTTTAAGATGGCAATATTAAAAAGTATAGGGCACCCCCTGCACACACAGAGTAGACAGAGAGGAGCAACTTGGACATTGGATACCCAAATGGGGAGGGAAGGACTACAAAGGCAAGAAGTAACTGGCTTACAAGCTTTCAAGAGGGAACCTAGAGCTAGGGGGCATGGAGGAAGGCAGAATCACCAGTGAGTACTATCCAATCTGTCTAGGTGGAGCTGATGAAATGAAATACAGATGGGTAACGTGCGATACTGTAGTGAATAATGGTTATCAAGACGGCTTGTGAGTGTTGGAAATGCAAGGTAGATGTTTTGTAGCAAGGAAGAAAGCGATTATTTCTCCAGTCTATGAGCAGAGGTCTCTGGGACCACCAACGGATAAGAGCCGAGAAAGGGACCCCACCCAGAGAACCGGGGATGCCTGAGATGGAGACAGAGATGATGACATGGAGGGATGAAGTGGCTGGGGACTTTGGATCCAGAGAGTGAGAGGAACTGTGAACCGAAGACTGAGGGGAGAGTGGGGAGTGTAGAGAACGGGCTTCTAGGATATGCCCTTTGGTCGGAAGATGATGCATGGAGGGGATTGGAACCATGGCAATGTAATGATATATGATGGAATGAATGAATATGGAACTCAGGTTCTCTCATGTAAACTATCATATAACTCACAATAAAACATAAAAAAAAAAAAAAAAAGTATAGGGCAAGTGAAGTGGATTTAGAACTTACAAAGCAGCAAACTTTCTTTTACCTTCAGACCACACGTGCATCCTACACTTACAGAAAAATTGAGGACACTAACAACTTTATGAGGAGTGTGGTGGCTTTGTATGATAAGCAGTGGATTGCAAACCACAGTGTTGGCAGTTTGAGCCCACCAGCTGCTCCACGGGAAAAAAATGAGGCTTTCTACATCTGAAAAGGTTTAGTTTCAGACTGTGAGTTGGAATCGACTCTACGGTACTTAACAACAACAGCAGTTTGATGGAGTCCTAGTGTGATAAGCCCATATTTGCTGTAGGATAAGCCCTGGACTGCTAACCACAAGATTGATATGACTCAGAAACTCTATACTGTGAGTTGGTACTGACTTGATGGTACTTAACAACTACAACAATTTTATCAGTTTGTTTCATCTTGGACTTTGTACTGGATAAATCTGAAATTTTAGATTTGGTTTTATTTCAGATTATGTGATTACTCATTTCTCAGGGAGATTCAGATTTTTCTTTACATTAATTGTTATTCAGTATCATCGAGTTGATTCCAACTCATAGCAACCCTATATAGAATTTCTGAAGTTGTACATCTTTGCAGGCACAGAAGGCCTCATCTTTTTTCCCACAGAGCAAGTGGTGGACTTGAACTGCTGCCCTGTGGTTCACAGCCCAGTGCTTATTATTATAGAGTCATTGTACTTCCCTTTGTATTAATGGCCACTACTAAAAATAAGGAAGGCACTCTGGTAGCATAGTGGTTACGAGTCAAGCTGCCAACCTCAAGGTCAGCAATTCAAAACTACCAGCAGTTCCGCAGGAGAAAGATGAGGCATTCTGCTCCCGTAAAGATTTATAGCCTCGGAAACCCTGTTCAGGGTCACTATGAGTCGGAACTGATGACACGGTACTTAACAACAACAACAACTAAAAATAAGGAGTCCTGGTGTGGCACTGTGGGCTAATGAGTCAGACTGCAAATCTGTTTGAACTGCAAGGTCTGTGGTTCAAGCTCACCAGCTGCTCCTTGGAAACCCTATAGAGGATCACTATGGGTTGGGATTGACTCGAATGCACTTAACAACAACAACTAAAAATAAACCATTCTCCTCCTTTCAGGGAAAATCCTTTTGTTCTTTAAAAATTCCCTTTTTGGTAATCAAAGAAATGATGTGTTATTATTGATAACTTAAAGTATAGGGGGGGGGGGGGAATCATGTTTCCACATCTGGAATTAGTGGGTTTTTTGTATATTTTCTGTGTTTTTCAATGGTACATTTAAGAAAATTAGAATCATACTAAAGATACAGTTCTATATTCTGACTTTTACACTTTAATATAAGCATTTTACCATGTCAGGTGAGTTGTTTTGTTTTGTTTTTTATTGTTGTTTTAAGTAAAACAATACCTTATTTTCTTAACATTTTTGTGTATTTTAGACAGGTTTTTGATCATCTCATCCCTCTGGTAATAAAGACAGCAATCCTGATTTAAATCACAGCTATCCTGAATTGGGCTTGGCTCACCTGGTAGAGTTTAGAGAGCCCCCATTTACTGCTACTAAGTCTTTCACTCTTTTTCCCACTTACAGGTAGCAATGAAGTGATGAGGATGCTGATCTCTCGAAGCCTACTTCAAGAATAGTGCACAAAGTTGATATTCTGACTTGGCTTCATGTGCAGTAGGACTCAGTGTTGAATGGGTCCAAGTGGACATAATGTTACAGATGGCTCCTTGGTTGAAAGCTAGGCTTTTGTAGGGTGGGACCGTCACCGTATAGGTGGGCAATAACTTCTGCTTTAGGAGTGAAAACCAGCAGAATTCAAGGAGGAGTCCTGATGAGAAACAGCACAGAAGACATTGTTTTTTTAATGCCAGAAACACAACCTATGAAAAATCACCGTTAAACCCAAAGTCTTTTCTGGGAGCCACATTGTCTAGATTCGTCTGCATTTTGCTGGTTCGTGACATCTATCTTCCTATAGGTACTTTTGTTGAGAGCTTTTTGTAACTATTAAGCAACAGTGTGAAAATAGGGAAATACAGAAAAATGCACTCCTAATCTTGTTTTCTGTACTGTGACTTAAGATGTTTCTTTGGGTAACACTTCTTTTATAGTGCTCTTTTGAATATAAATCAAGATATAATCAGTATTTGGTGAACTGTTCTCCTTAGCTATGATGTAGGTTGTGTCTCCATTGGACTACTCAAAATCTAGGGGCTGGGGTTATTTGGAGCTTTCCATTTATATTATAATGTTACAGGAACAATAAAATCGATTTGAGTAATGATAGGAATATTTGTTCTTTTTCTTTTAAGAAATGTGGTAGAGGATTGACAGTCAGGGTTTCTGTAACTCTTCCTGATAAGTAAGTACTTAGAGTAAAGTTTTTCCTATCTGGATTTTTTTTTTTTTTTTGAGCTTGCTTCTCTTCTTACATGCAGGTACTCCCCCTCCTATGACAGCGTTTCATTCTGACAACTCTGCCCTAAATCGGTTCCAAGTCAAATACTTCCTTTTTGTTTTGTTTTTAGTGCCTACTGTATTACTTTCTTTTGTTTTGTTTTGAGTGCCTACTGTACAGCAGTGTTTTGAACAGTAGATTATAACAGTGAGTGCCTGAGAATGATAACATCAGCAATTTATTCACTGCAACATTGTTATGTAGCACATATTATGAAGATTTTTTTTTTAAAAAGTAAAGCAGGTGGGTCGAAAGTACAGTTTTTCATAACTCAAATACATTATTAAGTGAGGGTCTCTATATACCTGTACTTGTCCTGGTGTGGTGCTGTAGGATTAGCGCTAGACCACAAGGTTGGTTTGATAGTTCAAACTCACCATCTGCTCCTCAGAAACCTTATACAGAGTCACTATGAATCATAACCGACTCAACGGTATTTAATGACAACAATAACCACTATGCTGACAAAATCTACTCCTCTATATATTGTCTTCATTTCTACTAAAAGTTCATATTTTTAATTTCATGTTTTTAATTAAGCCTTTACAAGTATGTATCTTATTATTATGTTTGATTAAATATTTTGCTAAATTTTGGAATAATAATCAAAAACATCTTACCCAATCTGACTTCTAAAATGTATACACCTTTGTTTGTAATAGCTTTGCAAACTCAGCATTATTTATGATTTATAAAAATAGATTTAAAGTAATATTCAAAGATAGACTTTTTGGAGAGCCCTGTTATAAATGACCATTACATCCCCCCACCCTCTCATATCTATAAAGTTTAAAGATCTTTTTTTTCATAGGGGAATTAAGACAGGTATATTGTTGTTAAGTGCCATTCAGTCGGTTCTAACTCAAAACAACCCTGTATAGGGTTTCCAAGGAGCAGCTGGTGGGGTTGAACCACCACCTTGAGGTTCAAATTGATCTTGTGGTCCAGTGCTTATCCTACAGCACCACACCAGGACTCCAAGATAGGTGTAGTGCAAGGTAACCCAGTCTATAGGCTTAAAGAAGTGTAAGATTTTCCCACTGAACTTTAAAGTCTTCAGAGACTGATTCATCTCCTTATCCTTGGTGCCTTCCTGGCACATAGGAGAAACTCAGTGTTTATTGAGCAAACAGAAAGACTGAAGAAAGCTGTCATCACCAGTGAGATACTAATTGTAGCTATTGGCAAACCACATGCAGAAACAGGCGAGAAATGTCACCAGACATCTACTGCATGGACATGCAACAGCTTAGATGAAATCTCATGGAATTATGCTGAATGAAAAGGCAAACTTAAAAAGTCACAGCTGTGGTGCCATTTACATGGCATTCTTAAAATAAGGTATGATAGAGATGAAAACAGATTAGTGGTTGCCAGAAACTGGGAGTGGGGGTGGGATGGGTAGGAGTGCCTGAAAGAGCAGCCTGAGGGAGCCTTGTGGTGGTGGACAGTTCTGCATCTTGATTACAATACATCTTGAAGCAACAGATGGGATAAAATTTCCCAAAATTACACAAACCTCCATAGAAGTGCTTGTGTATTGCTCAGTGGCAGTTTCATGGGGTTGGTAAGTTACTGTCTGTTGATGGATGCTGCCAATGTCAGAGAAAGAGTGAGGAATTCATAAATTTCCTTGTGTATATTTTTAAACACTTTCTTGTGAATTTATAATTTTAAAAAAAAGTTAAAAATAAATCATGAACTTCTGGTTTTGGCAGCTGCAGAGCAGAGTCAGGTAGGACAGGCTCTGTGGGGGAGGGGCTGAAAACCCAGAGAAGCTGCTCTCACGGAACAGCACCAGAGCTCTGGATCTAGCATAATGTTCAGGGCATCAGTTTCCTGCAACCGCTAGTGGAAAAATCATGGTGTAAAGGAAAATATTGTGTAAAAAATTAGGAATTGGTCAAGACACGGGACTCCTTTGCGGTCATCCAACCCGGGTGGAGGTCAGAGAGCCAAGCTACAGCCAGACCAGCACAGGGAGCGGGCAGCACAGGGAACCAGCTCTAAAAGCAGTGCAGTGATGTTTGCAAAAGGAGGTGTGGGGGAGGAGGGGGAAAGTGTAGGAGGCGGGTTTCTGGGATATACCCTTTGGGTTGTTGATGATGCATGGAGGGGATTGGAACCATGGCCGTGAGATGATATACCATGGAATGAATGTAAAACTAAAGTTCTCCCATGTAAACTATCATATAATTTTCAATAAAACATTAAAAAAAAAAAAAAGTGTGGGGGGATTCTACACATTTTTCTTCCTCTTCCCTATTGTGCCTTCTTTGCCCAGCCCAGATGCCTTCAGGTGGGTGGGTGCGTACCCCCCAAAAAAGTCCAGCGTTGAGACCACAGCTTTCCGATGGCACAGAAACAAAAAACCCTATCAGTCCAAAGGCATATTCTTTGGCTGCTGCTTTTGACTTCTGCCTGTGGGTCCCATCCCTAAAGTTAACTTGTGTGAGACCCTTTACTCCTGATTATCCAGCAAGAAAAAAGCAGGTTTGGCCTGACAGACAAGCCATATGAACAATCTGTAAAGCCCTAACATAAAAAGATGCAACTATTTCAAGAATTACGCTGTGCACACGTAGATACCTAAATGACCTTCAGAGAGAAAAATAGTAGACAATCTTTCTCCCATTAACTTCTCAATATCTCTCTGTGCACCTCTACAGTGGTGACTAGAGGAGGGGCATGAGCAAGTAGACAACACCACCCACTACAGGATGCTTCTACGGTGCACACACACTGCCTGTATAGCAAGGCGACTGGCCAGTCAGCCACAGTTTTATTTTTGTTTCAAAGTGGTGGTTTTTGTCTCTGCTTTTATATTTCTTCTGCTTTTGGGCCTTTTGATTGCACATTTTTCCTGGAGGGGGGAGCTTTTTCTCCCTGCATTACCCAAGAAGAGTCAGCAATCATGGCCATATAGCCAAGCATACCTCATAATATTCCACCATTGAGACAAGAGCCGATAACAGCTGCTAAGCATTACATGCAAAAAGGAAAGCCTATCTCCTGATCATAGCCACCAGGAGACACACAGTAAGCTTAATAACACAGCAACAAACATCCATTTAAGCATTAAAAACCCACATAACTACTAGAAATGACTAACAAAACACAAAAGATCTCAAAACATGTCCAAAACCAGAAAACAGTAATGGAGACAAATGAGCTGGAGACAGACAAAGACTTTCCAGAAGAGGAAGAGCAGGCTTTGGATTTGCCTGAGAAGGAATTCAGAAGAATGGTATGGAAACAAATTCAAATGCTCCATAAAGGGGTGGAGGAAGACAAGGAAGAAATCAGGAAAGTACTACAGGAGCAATCAAACAAGATGGATATAGCATTGGAAACAATTCAAAACCTGCAAAAAAAGGTCCAGATGATTAATAATAAAATATCAGAAATGGACAATACACTGAAAATGGAAAGGAGCAGAACTGAAGAGATGGAAGCCAGAACAAGCAAGCTGAAAGACAAATCTCTCAATACTACTAAGATAGAAGATCAAGCAGAAAAAAGGATTAAAAAAAGTCTGAAGAGAGTTTAAGATTCATGCTGCATAACATGAAGATGAACGACTTAGGAATTACTGGCATTCTGCAACAGGAAGCATCAGAGAAGTCCACAGAGGAGATAGTTGAAGAGCTTCTGGAAGAAATTTTCCCTAACATCTTGAAAGATGAGAAGATAAACATTTAAGAAGCCAAACGTACCCCAGGAAAGATAGACCCCAAAAGAAAATCACCAGACATATAATAATCAAGCTCTCCAAAATCAAAGACAAGGAGAGAATCCTAAAAGCAGCCAAAGAAAGGAGAAATGTTACTTACAAAGGCAAGCAAATCAGATTAAGCTCTGACTATTCAGCAGAAACCATGCAGGCAAGAAGGCAATGGGGAGATAGATACAAAAGCCTAATAGAAAAAAACTGCCAACCAAGAATCGTGTATCCAGCAAAACTGTCAATCAAATATGATGGTACAATCAAAACCAGGATAAACAGAAGATAAGAGATTTTGTCAAAGCCAATCCAGCAGTTCCAAACATCCTAAAGGGAGTTCTTTGGACTGAAAACCAACAAGAACAGACAAAAACCATAGATTGACAGGTGTGGCAACACCACCTGAAACTCAGACGACAGATAGCAGAGTCCAGAACAAAACAAAATTACAGCAA